CTCCAGGCTGAAGATACCCAGTTCCCTCAGTCTCGCCTCATACGGCATCCCCTGCAAACCGGCCACCAACCTTGTGGCCCTGCGCTGCACTGACTCCAACCTGGCTATATCCTTCCTGTAATGAGGGGCCCAAAACTGAGCACAATACTCCAGTTGCAGGCGCACCAGAGTCGTGTAGAGTGATAGCAATACCTCTCCCGATCTAGAAGCCATGCTCAACCTCACAGGGTTGTTGTGTATAGCCACCACCGTGTCGTGGTTAGGGTATTGGACTGGGACTTAGGAGATCTGGGTTCTAACCCCCATTCAGCCCGGAAGCCTACTGGGGGACTGGGCCACTCAGACTCTCAGCCTAGCCTACCTCGCAGGGTTGTTGGGAGGATTAAATGGCGAGGAGGAACACAGATGCTGCCCTGGATTTCTTGCAAGAGGAAAAGAGTTGGGATGGAAATGCAAGGCAGTATTTTCACTATACCACTGTATATAGGCCATAGGACAACTCTGGACCTAGAGGGCCCCAGGGGCTGAAACGCTGTCCCTGAACCGTCCTCAGTGGCGAAGCGAAACAGACAAACCTCTCCGGAGTTTCAAAAGGGCCAGATTTAGCTTGAGAATGAGCAAGATTTGGCAGCTTCGGCTCTCCGTGTGATTTCCTGCCACTTTCTGACTGCAAATTATTAATATTTACACCACCCAATGCTGGCCGTGTGGGCAACATCGGGGGCGTGGGGGCTGAGTCAAAGCCAGGAGGGGCTACGGTTTGCCCAACTTAGCTAGTGGTGCACAGGAGCACCAACACTCTGGCCAAACCCCAGCCAAGCAGACCCCTGCCTTCACTTCACGTTTGCATGTCTTGTTTTTTGAACACACAAACTACCTCTGTAGGAAACGTGTGAGGAATCCATTTGGGGGAAGTTAGAATCTGGCAGAGCGTCCCAGTTCAGCCCCCAGATTCTGGCCTGTCGACTCAGCACTGGCACGGATCCATTCTCACGTGAGTGGAGCCAATGTGCAGGCCTCCTTTTCTCACGGCAAGCAATGAATTCCCTCTCTCTCTTTTCCTTCTAGAGCCAGGAACATCTGCAAAAGTTTCGGCTGTAACTTCAGTGAAGCTCAGCCATAATTTTTAGCTACACTATGTGCAAACTGCCATTGCAGATCGCACGAACAACCGCCGACGTGATGCGGACGGTACGCGCTGTGGCCGAATTTTGTGCAGAGTTCATAAATTGTGCCGAAGCTTTAGGCCAATTCCCTAGCTTAAAAAAATGCAAATCGCAGCCTATTTCAAAAGTAGAAGGCAGCAAGCAAGCAAACCCACTCAGCTCACTCTCTGCCATTCTCAAATCACGCAGGTGCAAAAGACGAGCCAAGTTCAAACAGGCCGAATTTCTCTGTTTCACCCATCTGTATGTTGCAGCTCGTTTCACACCTCCAGTGCAAAATTTGCACACAGGATTTATTATTCCCACTGTAGAAATTGACCGATTTGCGGATGTGAAACTATGTCTGAGCATTTACCTGTACCTGCATTCATTGGATAGGTGCAGGCATCACCAAGCGCCCTTGCGAATGAAAATGCACACTAGAAAGCAGTGTCTCTGCCATGCCAGGCTTGTGTAACCAAGATCAAAAGCCATAAAATCATAGCAAGGTCCTCAGAGGTCATCTAGTCCACTCCCTGCTCAACACAGAATATTCAATACAAGAGAGATCTCAGCACAGCACCCAGTAATACAAAGAGCAAAGGGAAACCCTCGTCCACTTAAGGCTATCATGATAAATGACTTGCAGTCTTTTTCTTTGAGTCATTGAATGGCTATCTACCAAGCTCAAGGCCTCTGAAGCCTCCATTCATAAAAACCTGAATTCTATGACCGGTGAAATTTATGCAGATTTGCAGTACCTGGATGGAACTCTCCTGGGATTATCTTTACTCATTTCTTTCATCAACACCAATCCTTTTTCCCTGCAAGGAACCCAAGGTGCCCCTTATAAAATCCCCTTCCTTGACATTCGATCCTCTCAACAGCCCTGCGAGGTGGGCTAGGCTGAGAGACAGTGACTGCTCCAAAGGTGCAGTGAGCTCCATGGCTGAGTGGGACCAGAACTCCAAGACTCCAACCACTACCCCAGACTGTCCCTTTGACAGTTTGGTCCTACTCCCTTTTGTGCGCCCCTCTTCCTGGAGGACGTCTCCAAAACGGGGTTCAGGCCTTGGGGTGAAGATGGCCCAGCAGCATGGAATCGACGGGCAAGAAGGCGAAGCATCCACTGGGCTCCCCACTCAGCCAACAGGGTCTACACAAAGATCGGGGGCAGCAGGGCAGAAGGACACCTTTGGAGCACAAACCCACAGGGCGCTTTCGGGCTGGTTCCTTTTCCATTTGGGAGATGCGCCTTCAAGAAACGACAGTCTGGAAGCGTTTTCAAGCAAAGCTCATCCTCAGACTTGTGTACACACAAACCCCACAGAAAAGGCAAGGAGAAAAGACCACAACCCAGTCCGTGTTCAAGAGGAAACAGTCTTCCAAGGCACAGTAAGTGCTCCGCTCCAGAAGGACGGACAAGCCCCAAATCAGTCTCCCACAGAGACCCATTCCTGTGGCAAGATGGAGAACAGTTCCTTTGAAGTGGCACCTGGAAGCGCAGCAAACCGAGCTGCCGTCTTGCCCTGGCCGACAGCTTTGCCAGATCCTCGGCGGGTTTGCAACGCTTTGCTCGTGGTCTGGGCCGCAGAGCCCGAGGCCTGGGAAACATCCAGCTTTTGGGTCTTGAAGTGTCCCGACACCAAACAAATCCCGCCTCTCCACTCTCTCCTCCAGAGCAGCACAGTGTGTGCCCGGTCAGGCTTCCAACCAGCCGGACATGCCCTCTTCCAAACGACTCCATTCCACTCCATCCTTTCCTCCCAGTGCTCAGCCTTCGCATTTAGTTCTCCTGAGAAGGCTCTGAGTTTCATTGTTTTCATTTCTGAAATCTTTGGGATTGTTGTTTTCTCTCAGGAGTGTCTTTGGGATATAAAGTCATTAGCAAGCTGCGTCTGAATTCACAAGTAGATGGAGCAATTCTAGTGCACATATGTTCTCTCTCTCTCTCTCTCTCTCTCTCTCTCTCTCTCTCTCTCTCTCTCTCTCTCTCTCTCTCTCACACACACACACACACACACACACACACACACACACACACACGCGGAAAAGGCCAGTACTACGAAAGCAGCAAAGGATTTTGGTTTACCTCTTACAGAACACATTCCCCATCTGATGTGACTAAGATGCTTCCAACATTGGTCCCGGACCCTTTGCAATCCAGGTGGACTAGCCGGACTTCCAAAGACACCCGTTTTCCCACAGCAAGGGAAGATGAGGAGAATACCAGCCCTGAACGAACGCCGGCCTCTCCTGGCTGGGATGCTGCTCTTTACCCTGGGACAAGCAAACACGACTGCCCGCCTTGAGACAGCCGGAAACAGCCTGGGGGCCCTTGTGATGGTGAATCAGGCCCCTTAATGATGCCGCACCGACGGTGACAGCCAGCCGCGTGCAAACGCCAGTGCCTGTTCCTGGCATGCCTCGACGTGTTCAGGCAAACCTTCTCCCCTTCGTAATCCTGTCTTTGGAGGTGCTTGGCTTGCACAGGGTAACGGTTACATAATTCTGAGAGGGTTCGGCTGGCCGGCCGCCAACCTACACTCCCAAATATGTTGGACTGCAGCACCCCTCATCCCTTGCCGGCATGGCCAAGAGGGGGAAGATGAGAACTGTAGTGAC